GGTTTGTCTGCTTCGCAACGCAGACTTCATTCATGGTCTTTAGTGAAGAAAGTGAGTCCTTACAGGCAGGTTATCAATTCTCCTCTGTATTTGAGGCGTGAAAGTCAAATGTAGTAAGTGTATGTGTGATTAGAGAAAGTTTTGTCGCAAACCAGATTTTATAAAACAAATATCAACTCAGGATATATATTAAATTCTCAAATCCCTGAAGTGATTAACAGATAACTTCTCCTCCCAGTTTTGACACATTGTTCAGCAAACTGGTGATGAAATTAGGGAAACGTGTCAGCTCTAGGATACAAACTGGATGAAACATCGATTGATCTGTCCTAATTTTCAAAGAAATGTATAATGGCTGGTATGGGGGAATTTCCTTGCCAAACAGATCTTGGGAGGAAATGGGTTCACAAAAAGAACCATGAAGATATAAGTGTCTGCTGTGCTAGTCAAACAGGCCGTTTACCGACCTCAAATACGAGCAAACTTTTCCTAAATTAGCTACCAAGTGACTACCCCAAATATCAATTACTGTCAGATAAATTATACATAAGTAGGTAAATCTATAGAATCTGCAAACTCCGTCAGTATGAACTTAACTATTTAGTAAGTTTTGTCTACTAGATCAAGCCTTTCCACAAGACGTCCATTAAAGAACTTCCAATTAAGTCACAGCTGTAACAATGTAAGAGTTTGCCACACACTGCAAAACAGAGCTAGAACCAAAATAGCTCCAATTACCTACAACTGGCAAATGCTTGTAGAAATGTTGTCTGTAAAGTCCTCTATTCTGTAAAATCAGTTTTAACTGAAGTATATATATATCAAAATGAAACAACGCTAAAACCCAAAGTGATTCAGTCGAAAGTAGAATGGAGAAAGAAAACACTTCTCTTGTCCACTAGAATGGTAAGTGAATAATTACTCGAAGTTCACTTCAAAGTTTACTCATATCGACAAAATTGCTGTTTCCGTAATGTACAACGAAATTGTTTAAAATGATATGGATCCTCTCGCAGAGATTCTTTCCAGTTTAGGCCGCACATCATTTAAACTCTCGTAGTTTTCGCACAATTTTTTCGCACTGCTCTTGCCATTTGTATTTCTCATCATAATACTTCCGTAGATCAATAGCCTCTCGCAGTCGCACATCCCTTGATTTTTTTCTGACCCACCTGATGGCTTCTTTCCATGTGCTGGGGTCTTCAGAGTCTACCACGAAAGAGCTTCCAAGTGTAAGCTCTTTGAGAACTTGGCCAAAGCCACTGTTAGCGCTCACGAGGATGGGGAGGCCAGCTGAAAGGGCTTCGAGAGCTGCAAGGCCGAAGCCTTCTGTACGCGAAGGCATAATGGCCAAATCTGCCGCAAGGAATTCATTGGCCAGGTCTTCGCGGCTTTCGCAAAAGGTGCGCACTATCAGTTGTGACCGGTTTATGCCATATTTAAGCAATCTCTCCGCCACTTCTCCTTGCTCTCCTTCTGCCGCGCCAACGAACACAAGGTGATAAGGACAGTCTTCTGCCGTGGCTGCTATGGCCCGTGCGGCAACGTCGTATCCTTTGACTTCAAAATCGTCTTCGTTGCCGCGACCAAATAATAAGATAGAGAATGTTTTTCCATCTTTTCTGGCTTGCTCTAGTTTAGAGAACTCTGTAAAAATACCTGGTGTGAAGTTAATAACTTCTTCATCTCTCTGGTGCGCTCGGAGGCTTCGTTTGATAGAGTCAGTAAGTTTTGGTCCAATTCCCACGATGACATCAGCCACTTTGCTGAGTTTAACCTCAATTTGGTGCTTTTTTTCACCATCTGAGATCCGTGTTGTCTGCCCTATTTTAAACATTGCGAGTTCTTCACTTGCAGTGTGCACAACATGGACTCGTTTGCATCGCCGCTGTTTTGCCACAGCAAACGCTGGCGGCCCCAGCTTATATCCATGACCTACCACAGCGTCAATTTCACAGTCGTCAGGTGGAAATGACAATAAGGAGATGCGGTGAAATCCAGGTATCTCTTCGACCTTAACAAGGTTTACGTTACCTTTTAATGCTTCATTCTTTTCCTCCTCGGTGAATTGTAGCACAACTAGGGTCACCGATACATTAGGCTGTTGAGCCAGCCCTTTGCACATCTCTCTGTTTAGAGTGGATAATCCACCTTTTGATGAGCCCCACTCATCCACCAAAGGAGAAATTCTCAAAACCTATTGCAAATGAACATAGTGAGATAAGATGAATTTTACTTTTCGTTTTTTAATCAAAATTTGATAAATCATGAATAACTATCCACAGAAGCGGAATTAGCTGGTGGTGGATATTTACCAAGCCACGAGGTGGCGAGGAAATATGCACTACTTTCACCGACTCAGAGGTGAAAAATTGTTTTAGTACATACCACACAGATGACAAAAACTAGTTTATTTGTTTCAATATACCGAAACATGGTCGCAAATTAAACTCTGGACGAGCAATTTTGTCTTATCGCTTCCCAGAGGTAAATAGTAGTCCCTCTCCACTTCCGCCGGAACTACCCAATCAGCGTGCGCGAAAAGCACTGTTCACTTGTGTGGTATATACTAACGAAGGATATCCAGAGAATGAGTATCCAATTAGAGCGCGCCTTCAATGCTATCCACGGCCTTAATACATTGTAATATATAAAGGTTATTCATTTTCAAGCCTCAACACATTAATTGCGCTTAGCCCAATGATAATGCTGTTAGATGATAAGCTTTATAAATAATTACTCTATCGTCATGGCGAAACTTGTACACAGATGAATGAGCACTTCTTTGTCACTTTTTTATATCGTCTGGCATACGTACATTAGTTATTAGTGTGTCATAGCCAAAGTCTTCAATTCTATTAACACGATTACCTACCTCTAGTTCGCTGGTCTCAGCCGAAATATCATTCATTTCCTTTGAAGAGTCAACAAAAGCCCTAAAAATCAAAATAAAAACACATTAACACAATCTTTCATGATATTTTTATTGACCTCAGGGTCAGAGAATTGTTTATATACATTCTCGGGCAGAATTTAAACTAAAATTTCCATCCCTGTTTAGAGATGCAACTTTAATGCGTCTCTATTGTTTTTTAGAGACGCAGTGTAATTGATTGAAGCCAATTTATTTTTTTTTTGGGGGGGGTAAGTGCAGAGTAAGTGCAACTCGTCAAGTCAATTTTATTGCTGTCTGAGTATGGCTTTGCTCCGCTTTGTTCCGCTGTTTTAAGATTTCAATCTTTGTTTTCTGTGGTTGACTTTCTAAATGTGTGAAAATTAATGNCGTGGGTCGCAGATGAAATTAGACCTGTTGTATATGTCAACATTATGATATTTTTTGAAGACATATCGTACAGATTGAGGAAAAGGAAGCGGCGAGAAGTGACTCTTAGTCCTTTGATCGTTTTGTTGACTTCATCTTCCCATTAGGTCCTTCAGTTTGCAAAAATTCAAGACCGAAGCGAAAGACCGAAGGCTGTCATACCTAATGCATGAATCGCTCTAGGCGAGATTTAAGTTGCTGATCATTGACAAAAGCAAAAACGAAAAAAGGAACGAAACTTACGGATTCTCTTTCGAATTCCTTGACGTCGCAAGCGTTCAGCATAGATGAAAGGTGAAACTTTTTCTTTAGCTTCCGCTGTAGCGGACAATATTGCGTAGCGAAGCGACAAAAACAGCGTGACCAACCCACCATCTAATGGCTGCTACGTCAAGATGATTTGCGTCCGTACGACAACAGGCCCCCCGTGGTTGTAAAGAAGAGAGACCTTGGTAACGAGATTGAAATATTTGGAGCGTCGTCAATTTTCTTGTTGAGGTGTAAGAAGGCGTCTAATACAGAACAAAAATGAAACTTTTCCTTTCGCTTCCGAAATGGCAGACATATTTTGTGGCGAAGTGCCAAGAACTGGGCACGTGACCAACAAGCCATGTATTGGCTGCTACGTCAAGGTGATTTGTGTCGGTAGCTACGACAAAAGGTACCCCCCCGAAAGTTGGTAAGAATAGAGAGTCTGGTGACGAGATTAGGACGTTTAATTGTCAAGGTGTATGTAGCAATACAACCCTAACTTGCCACGTGATAGAGGTAGATGCACAAGGATCTCAGGATATAAGTTTCTTTAACCAAATTCAAACTATCGGTTGACTGGAATTGGGAAAGAAATCTCTAAGTACAAGTTTATCATACCTGAACTCAAATTCTTTCTGATTGGTCCTGAGATCAGCTACAAACTACGGCAGCCAGTAGTCCAGCCTTGCCGTAAATGGCTTTTCTTCAGCGACACAAACTATTCAAGAGCTGGATTGCTTTCTATTAGTTTCCGAGTGAGACTGGGGAAAAGTAGCTGATTAAAAATGGCGTACAGAAAGTGAATCTATTGACGTATATCATGAAAATAAATATCATTCTATACAAATATGTGAAGCAAGTATAAAAATTAATGATGGTGTAGCTGTTAAAACTCTCGCTTCCCTATATTCCTATTTTTTTTTTTTTTCATTTTTCCCCTTTGTTTTGGATAAGTTACTTTCTGAAGTGAGCTCAAGTTTAGCTGAAATAGGTCGGAAGAGAACGAAGACGTGTTCGAAGCTGGAATAACTGCGATTCGTTACATTATCGTTACCCATCACGGCAAACAAAGTAAACAACTTTTGAACAGTCAAGAGTTTAAAATGAGCACAAACAAATTATAGCAATATAGTTCTAAAAACCAAACAAGCAAACAAAAAAAAATTAAAACAGAAATGGGAAACGCTGAGAAAAACAAGGAAGAACGAACCAGCAAAATGCGACTTTTCAGAAATCTGCGGACTCGTGTAAAAGGAGGGACTCAAAAGCTGAGCAAATAATTGGGTTTTCTGCTGGCTTTTCTCTTTAATGTAATTTAAGGCAATAAATATTTACAACACTGGGTCATTATATTTCATCTTTAGTTTTTCAAATAGTCTAAGTTCCTCATTTGTTCATAGTGCTATAACCCTTCACCATGAAAGGAAATGTTACTGCACTAGAAATAAAATTGATAGAAGCTTACACACAATTGTTTATTTTTTAAGTTTTAAGCAGTGATAATGACAACGTTGGTGTCTCTTGCTGTATGATAGAACGCTCTACAATGTTATGAACCTTCATAATTTTGGGTGTTTTTAGTTCAGTACCTGGATCATTTACACTAGCGCAGTTTGTTCACAACGGTTTGAGACTGCTCCTGCCATTTGTACTTCCGATCATAATATGTCCGCAGAGCGTCAGCTTCCTCTAGTCGTACCTCTCTTGATTTCTTTCTGGCCCGCTTGATGGCTCTTCCCCATTCATTGGGATCGTCGGAATCCACCACAAAAGACATTCCAAAAGGAATCCTTTCTAGAGCTTTTCCAAATCCACTGTTATCACTCACCAGGATCGGAAGCCCGGCAGAGAGGGCTTCGAGGGCTGTAAGGCCGAACCCTTCTGTTCGCGATGGCATTATAGCCAGATCAGCTTCACAGAAAAGACTGGCCAGACTTTCACGGCTTTCTCGATAACTGCGCACTATCAGCTGCTTAGGGGAGATTCCACATTCAAGTAAGTTCCTTTTTACTTCTTCTTGTTCTCCTTCCGGTGCACCAACGAACACAAGACGATAGGAAGGGTCGTTCAAGCCTGCTACAGCGCGAGCGGCAAGGTCGTACCCTTTCAGTTCAAAATCTTCCTCGTTACCACGACCAAATACCAAGATAC